TTTGAAAGGAAAATGTTCTCATATTTTTCCCTGCATATTCCCTGAGAAAATATATTCTCATAGTGGATTTAGTGTCAATAAAGTATTTCTATAGTTTTCAAAATGCTTAAAAAATGGGAAGTTGATTAAATGTTTAATAATTTACTGGAATCAATAAAATGTCTCTGCGTCAAAAGAAGATCTCCTAGACACTGCCCAAGAAAACTTCAATAATTTGTGCATAAAGTTCCTTACATAAAAAATAATTTAATTTAATTTAATTTAAAAATAAATTAATAAACAAAGTTATTATAACCATATGTATTTTCCCCCCTTAATTAACATACAAGGAAAACACACAGCAAATTTATTTTGGCTTGAAAAGATTCAAAGATTTTCAGAGGTCATCTCTTTTTTTGCTGTTTTGAAAATTTCTGCAGAATCTCCTCTTTTTTTAGACTCATGACTGTCAGATACCTAACTTAGGGAGCTTGCTCTTGCATGAGCAACATCTTTTTTTTTCTTTCTTTTTTAAACCCAGAGTCAAGTTTAAGAAGATTTTAAAAAGTTTTTTTTTTCTCTCTGTCCAAATTCCAGTTTGTTGTCCTTCACGTCACAAGAAATTGCCAGTTTCTCCACCTCTTAAATGAAGCATACCATCAGGTGGCGCAAAGGGAGATGTGACGAGTTCTTAATATTAAAGTCATTAATGTATTTACATGGCGAGAGGGAAAGGGACGGTCTGGCATCAGGCTGGGAAAGAGGATGGAAACATTTTCAAGGGGTGAATCTTAGACTAAAACGACAAGAATGTATTAGATTACCAGAACCGACGCCTTGCCCGAGTCAATAAAGAAATAAAGAAATAATTGTTTAATAATAAGGCGGACGGACAGTGATTGCGCTGAGTGGATCCTTGATTTCGTCTCTCTGAGGAGCGAAACATTTTTCGGCTGCACGACTTGCTGAAGGTTTCTGCTGAAGATGGAGTTTGGCGAGAGGAAGAGGAGAAGGAAATCCCAGAGCTTTAAGCTGGTCACGGATGAAGAAGGTAGGCTGCTGCTGAATGAAGGAAGACGCGCTCATGTGTCTGTCTGGGTGTTTGTCTGGCGCCTGGAGCCAGCACAGACGACTCTGGAGACAAAAGCCACGACAATGAATGCCCAGTGTGTGCATCGAGCTTTAACAGCTGATTAAAACGGTAAAAGAATAGATTTTAAAAAAGGCCACCTCCCTATCATCAGCCCTCAATGTGATTTACTCTAATGAAAATGTTAAATCTTATTTCTAGGCATGTCCAAAATGAGAAAATCTGTTGCGCAGTCTCGTCATGTAGGCAGCCTAAACTGCACACTTCTTTTTTAATTTTAATTTTTTTTATTTGAAGCCCTAAAGCTGCAAAGCACCTTTCTCTAAAACTACTTCATACCTACAGGTGGTGGTGGTTCCTGCATGGGATGAGGAAGGGGTGGGAGGGTGTTCTGCTTTGGTTCACATCACAGACTGCAATTCCCTTTCTTATTTGCAGCTTTCTGATTCTAAACAAAATGATTTCAGATTGCGACCCGTCGATTGTGACAAATGCCAGTTCCAATGGGGAAACTAAGGTTGCTGCTGTGCCTGATGGTATGGACCGTTCTGAGGATTAATTTCTCCACCGCGTCATTGTGGATATCACTAATTACCTTTTGTGTAGTTTGGCTGCAGGGGGACGAGAGCGTGGGGATCAAAAGGCAAATCACAGGAATGATGAGACTTCTGAGTGATAGGTCTGCCAGGGTTTATCAACGTGTCGGATCAGAGCAGAGCAGCTCAACAAAGGAGCCCAAAGATAACCTGAACCATACTCAGACTCGAGTTCCATCTCCTGCGTCAGAGGACCTTCAGAGCAACAACTGGAGTTCTGCAGGGGACCCAGATCCTTCATCCTCATCCACCTCCACTTTAGGCCAGTACAGCACCAGGTCCAGAACACTCAGGATCCTCAACAGCTCAAAAGAACCAAACGGTAAGTTGACAGGGTTCAACAAGAAAAACTGCTATTTTCAGTCGCAAATTATTTTGTCCTAAACGTCAAACAGACGCAGACACTTCAAGGCAAATTCACACTTCACATTCTGTAGCCACTGAGCATGAAAGCACATTGCGCCCACGTGAGCACACACGTTAAACTGAAGACTGACTAATCAGGTCACCCTTTGCTTTGCTGCAGATGTGCTCCGTCCTGCCGTGCAAGAACTCCCCTGCTGTATGTGCAACTGTAAGGGCACCTTACAGGCCATCCTGCAGGAGCTGCGAGCCATGAGGCGGCTGATGCAGAATCGGAAAGGTCAAAAAGTGTGCATGTTATAAAAAAAGGAAACACATCAAGGTTAACAAAAATAATAATCTAACACACTTTTGGTCTTTTTGTAGCATCTTTTGACAGGCAGGAGCAGGCAGGACCACCATGCCACCCTCACCTCAGTCCAGCTTCCACTCCTCGACGTCGTCCCCCCAAAATAAGACCAGTCTATAAAGTGACTCCACTATCCAACACGAGGAGACTCAATACTCCTCTGGGTGCATCGGCACCTAAAACTGGTCCTACAGAGTCTGGGAGGAGGGAGGATGGTGAGAAACTAGACTCGTCTCCACTCAACATGCATTCAGTTCCCTGTGATGTTTCTGTTCTGCCTCCTCACAATCCTCCCCTGAGCCAACCCAGGGAGCATCAAGGGTCAGAGGTATGGGAACTCATTTATGAATTCATACTTTTTTAATTTGTTGCTAAATCCTGATTTAAGTATATTGGACTCATTCCCATAGAAACAGTCCAAACACATTTTATCCTATTAAATAATAAGTAATACACACTCTGACATTTAGCAGATTAAAATGTACACATTGATTTAATCCAACTAAAACTACCAGTATAACTTAGCACAAAAAGTAAGGACATTTGTGTTTGTTAGATTATTTATTTGTTGTAACAATGCTTCTTGGCAATAAATCTTAAACCTTTAGAAAGCCTGGTAATTTCCCTTTTAAATGGTGCCACATTTGTAAGGAACATGCATTTGTGGGATGAGTAGTAGAGCTGAATATTTGGGTTACACACTTGAAAGATTTGCCAAACCCACTCTGCCAAACAGCTTTCGCTGTTGCTATTGACACTTGTTTTAAGCTTCTGGTACTACCAGGGGCTGCCAGTTAGGTGCTGATAAGACTTATTGCCAAGAAGCATTGTTACAACAAAGAAATAATCTACAAAACAAATACATATTTTTTGGTGCTAAGAAATTATCTTCTATCCAGCATATCACTCGTCACCTTTTATGTCAGTTTGTAACTGATTTCCATCTACTACCACACCAAACTTCCACTCACTAAACACATATTAAATGTATTGTTTGATTTACTCGCAGTCTGAAGTTCGTCTTGCAGAAGATTTTGATGTGTTCATCTCAAAGGCCCAGCTGGACTCCATTCTGGTTAACTATACTCGCTCTGGAAGCCTGCTTTTTCGCAAACTGGTACGCTCCGTTGTTGTTTTTTAAAAACCAAATAAAAAGCCGATGTGATGTGATCAAATATGTAGATTTCTTAAAGTACAGATTAGCTTTTCAATTTAACTATTACCCTATACTGTAAAAAGTCCACAAAATGTACTTAGCACAAAAAGTAAGGCGATTTGTGTTTGATAGATTATTTCTTTGTTGTACCAATGCTTCTTGGTGATGAATCGTATAGCAGGAACCTGTTTGGAAGCACATGCTCAGCTCTCAAATGCATGTTCCTTACAAACGTGGCACCATTTCAAAGGGAAATTAACAGGCTTTCCAACTAAGAAATAATCTATCAAACATAGACCTCCTTACTTTTTATGCTAAGTTCAGTTGGAGAAAAGTACGGATGTTCAAGTCCTGTGTTTGTGTGCTGTCAGGTGTGTGCCTTTTTTGATGATGCCACTCTGGCGAACTCACTGCCAAACGGTAAAAGGAAACGAGGGCTCAATGACAACCGGAAAGGCTTAGACCAGAACATTGTTGGTGCCATTAAAAGTAAGTGTAGAAACAAGTGGATAAATTTGTCTTTTTTTTGGACACTGTTTTATGAAGGAGACTGTCATTAATTTGTGTAATCAGTGTTTACAGAGAAATACTGCACTGAGCACAGAATAGAGAAGCTGCCTGGGCCTAGAGACTGGGTCCAGATCCTTCAAGATCAGATCAAACTTGCCAGGAGGAGGCTGAAACGAGGTGTGCTTTAAACTCATTTATCTCTCTGAAACTAAACATACTGCATATTTATGTTAAACTTTTTATTTTTGCTTCAATAGATGCAGTGCTGGAATGGTTACAGTTAAAGCTGCCATATTGATACTATTGTTCTGCTTTATTGATATTAAAGTATTTTAGTAACCCTGCTTTTCTTGTCTCATCAGATGCTGCAGAAACTGAGGAAAACTCAAATAGACCATCCACAAGTATGAACCTGACATAAAACTGTTCACATCCCTGCATGACAATCATCCTCACAGCAGGTGGATTTGTTTGCTTTTCCTATTTGGAATCAGGACTTTTTGTCCCACATTGGTTTGTCATCTTACATAGTTTTTTTTTTCATCAACTCCCCCTCGGAGCGCACAATGAGCCTTACCTCTCCTCACTCCATTGTCGCAACATACCCACAAATTGGTGTCTCGGGCTCTCTCCTCGTCGGTTCACAGGTCTTTGTCATGCTGTTGTGGTGACATCTGACATTTTCACGCAGCTTCCCAAAATGTCAACTAATTATCTTTCCAATGAGCATCGTTTCCGCTCCTTCACCTCCTTGCTGTAGCCGCAGCTGTCAAAATAAAATTTCTCAACATGCTGCATGTGCTTATATAAATTCAGTAATTTCTTTGGTGATAATAAATTACATCTCAATAATATTCTTCTTCTCTCTCTGCAGGCTGCGACTATAGTAAGCCTGATTGCACGGAACAGAACCTGAAGAACATGTCGGGTTGATTCAACAGCTGCCTCAAATGGTTTTCAGCAAATTTGTCGTCTTCATTAATTACTCTGACTTGACGCACTTCCTTTGTGACTGCAATGTTGAATGGATATAAAGGTAAATAGGAGGGCCAAAGGAAAAATATGACTCATCTGTTGGTCTTTGTAATGAAAACATACAGTGCACAATGTGGGCATATTTTTGTTTTTCGGGGCTTTTTTAGCGGGCACAAATAAACCTTGAAGACCTTGAATTTTGCACCAGGGGACACTGAGCGAATTAAAGAAGTGACTTATTGTTTACATTTTAGGCTGAAAAACCTCAATTTTGCCTATAAGTCTTAAGTGCTGTTTGAATAAAAGTGTTCATCCAGTATTCAGATGACATCTTTACATTTCCATAGTGAATAGTGCCTTTTTAAGTGACTTCAGTGGGTGTAATGTGCAGTACAGCAGCCACCTTATTTCCCAACATTACTGATGTATTTTTGGTATTTTTTATATTTAAAAAATAGATAAATGAGCCCCACCTTAATAAAAGCAATCAATCATGGCTATTATTGGTTTTTCTAAATATTGATTTTTTTATCATACACAATAATGCTCAATTTTGTGATTAAATTATGTATTTTTCTTTAAATATTATTAACTGTCCATATGGAAATTTTAGCTGTATCCACAAATAAATACATCTCAACAATTGTTTGTGTCTTTGTTATTGCATATTTGACAGAATATTCAACAAAATCACATATTTCTCTCTGAATGTCTCATGAGGAAAAAAGGGAAAATTTCAAACAAAAAGTTGCAAAATCATTTTAAACATTTTTTCTGCATGTTAATTTAAAAAGGCAGCAATCTAGACTTTTTTGGCTGATTAAAGCTTTTTTTTTTATTGAATATTGATATAGTAAAAGCAGACAAAGAGAAAATAATAAATAATTCAATAAAGACACTGCAAACACCTTACAAAATAATGAAAAATTGAAACAGAAAGGATTTCGAAAGGAACTACCAGCAATTTCCACACTTCTCAAACACAAATGAAATTTTCCATCTCCTGTGACTTTCAGAGTAGGAAAATATGAACATTTAAATTACCTTTTAAACTCTTTTTATATTTGAAGGACAAGGACAATCACATTAAATGCAATATCAATATTCTTAATATTTATAAATCAAACAAACAATAAAATCTCAAGTTATTTCAAGTCGATTAGGAATACTGTATTAAGGGGCTATCTGATAATGCAAATCATCCCAACCTAAGAATTTTTCAACGAATAATTCTATTAATACATTTTAAAATATTTTTTGAGTCTCAGAGCATTGAAAGTTATTAAATATGGATATATTCTTCTTTGCACGTCTTCGGAAAAGATTTGTCATGAAATTGACTATTTGGTCAGTTAAAAAAGGTGCACTGTTTTGGAACAAATGGTTTTGGATGGAGGCTACCTTCGTTTTCATTTGGATGATTTGTTAGAGGTAAAAGGAGGGAAACACTAAATTAAAGGTACACTCCATTGTATTAATACTGTTGGCAGACTTTTGAACTAGTTAAAGGGGATGTTAAAGCAGCCACCGTGCAATCGGAGGACCAACTGTTATCTGGTGAGTTTCCTCTTTGAATTATAAACCAGTTTTTATTTAGTTGAGGTAAGGCGTAACATAAAATATTTTAGGATTAAAATGTATTCTATTTAGAGTGATGTTTTACTTCTATCTTGAATTTTTTTGTGTAAAATACGACTTTTTGTTAGTTTTAGTCAGGCCATCTCTTAGGACACCTATTTCTAGCCTGAGCGCCTTCTGTTGCCGTCCCCGCTCTTCTGTCGGGATCCGCCGCTAACGTGAAGCTGGTAAGGGTACTCTGCTCAGAGGAATTAAAGGGGAAATGTTGCACGAATATAACCCCGCTTTAACCTTTAAGTCGCATCTAGGGCAGTTATAAACACGTATATTGCATGATACCATTACAAAGTTTATATAAGTGGCACGTTTAGCGTTTTTCTATTGATACGAACTCAGATGTTGCACACATCGCATGGCGAGGGAGAGGAAGGGGTTAATTTTTTCCGCCGCCGACATTTTTGTTCGGCGCTCTACGGGAACTTTTTTAACTTACATGTGCAAGGCGTTGTTTACATGATTCCCAACATGGCATCGTGTTTTGTTAGTCGTGTGCGGCGTATGTGTTTTTAGCTGCGTCTCTGGGATGCTAACAGCTTCGTTGCACAGAGCTGCTTCATGCTCATCAGCGCATGTATGGATCAGCGTTTGTTAGCTCTGCAGCTAGCCTCATTGAATCCCCCCCCCAAAATCCCCTGCATTTTCGGTGAAGCAAACAAGACACAGGAGGTGTAATTTACACTGTGGCCAAATATATTTTAAAGTTCGCCCCCTCCTAGAAGTGTAAAATACATCTTGCATTTAACAAAATAAAGTTATTCCATATAAACATCACTGCTGATGTTAGCCTGTACCTGAAGGGTTGAATGAACGTTGGATCATTTTGTCTCTTGAACGCCACTCTAGTGGATCAAAAGAGGTCCCTTGTGCAACTCCTGTGGTTTACACAACAAACTGGAATTATACTCAGTAGTGCGTTTTATTATGCTGTTAACTGACATATTTGTGGAGTCAGCTGCAAATTCACCACTTTTTGATAACCTTTGTCTCTTATGATAAATCCCTGTTAAGTATTTTGGGTTATCATTTCATTTGGGTTTAAATTAAATTATACCAAGGTTAATATAAAGTTGTTTGACTTCACTATGTACAAAAACTCTGTACTAAAGAGAAGTTGGACTATTGAAGCAGTAAACTAACCAGAGAATCGGGGGACACAAATATTTAAAACGACATGGAAGAGAATAATAAAAAATGTAACATTAGTCAAAAAGTTAACTGAAGATATTATCAGAAAGGTGTGAATGTTTTCATCAAGTTTACTCTTATTTTTTTTTAATTATTTGTTGTCTAACACAGTGGTTCCCAAACTTTTTGTCTTCTGACCCACAAAATATCCACGGCAAAACCTTGTGACCCCAAATATTACTGGTCTGAGTACACGAACTTCGTTAATAACCCTAAAAACACAGGATTTTTGACAAGCTAAACAGCTTGTACACAAATACAAYTACTTATTTTTACTTATTTTGTGTTTTTGTAATAATTATAGAGAAAATATTACATCAGCAATTATTTTGTTATCCTTTAAATTGATTTCTGGAGATTATCCAAGGTGCTTCATGACCCATAATTGGGTCCCAAGTCCAACTATTTTTGTATGATAAACATTTGTATCAGGTCAACAAAACACGGGCATAGTAACTATTTTTATACTACATTTATCCATTTTAAAAATACTAACCTCACTCCTTTATAACAACTAAGGCAAAAATGTAATTAATTCAMAAAATCTTTTCAGGACCCCACCTTGATGTTTCGGGACCCCACTTTGGGTCCCGACCCCAACTTTGGGAAACACTGGTCTAACAAATAGTACTTAAAGGGATTCTAATGCAGCATTCAGTGCATTGCATATATTTGAATATGATCAGCGTCAAAGGTGATGTTAGCTTTAGGAAGACAAAGGTTGTTTTAATGCATGCTTGCAATATTCTGTTTTGATGATGTTGCATATAGAAGACAGTATTTAAATAGTATTGCAATGTGGCGAATCAGTCTGCTGTTCTTGTTCCTTTTTGTGACTTTGTTGCTAAACACCAGTTTTGCCTTTTCTTGGGGATCAAGGACCCAGAATTTCTTCAGAAATGTCGGTGAGGGAGTCCTTTAACCCAGAAAGCTATGAGCTGGATAAGAACTTCAGGCTCACACGTTACGCTGAGCTCAAGGGCACAGGATGCAAGGTTGGTAGTGTATGAAAAACATAAAAAAACACACATTTGAACACAATACTGTACAGTTAAATATTTATATATCTCTTTCCCCCACTGACAGGTTCCTCAAGACGTTTTACAGAAACTACTAGAATCCTTACAGGAAAACCACTATCAAGAAGATGAACATTTTCTCGGGGCAGTTATGCCTCGACTAGGTAAAATGATCTTACTTGATCTGCTTGATGCTTTAATTTATTTAAAATTAAAGCAAATGTTTTTTTTCTGAAGTGACAACAGTAGCTCTTCCACAGTAGAAAACAATAAATTGTCGGCATAATACTTTGTTGCTGCATCTGATATGAACAAGTTGTTCACTTTTAAAACAATTCCTTCTCTTTTTAAGGATATCTGTCAAATAAGGCTCATCGTTTGGTGTTTAATACCTTTTTTGTTTGTTTGTTTTGCAGGCATAGGCATGGACACATGTGTCATCCCTCTCAGACACGGTGGGCTGTCTCTCGTCCAGACAACAGATTACATTTATCCTATTGTGGATGACCCCTACATGATGGTACGGCTCTTTCACTCATTTATTTCTCTCTCTGCCTCCTTAGTGCTTCATAAGTAATCAAACATTGTTAACAGTGTTTTGTTTTATGTGCATTCTTAGGTTTGATGTAAAACTCTGCACACAAAGGCTTTTGAACCTATTTTTTCATCATTTCTGTCTTTGTAGGGAAGAATTGCTTGTGCCAACGTTCTAAGTGACCTGTACGCCATGGGAGTGACAGAGTGTGACAACATGTTGATGCTTCTGGGAGTCAGCAACAAAATGTCAGAGAAAGTAAGAAAGATGTTATTGTGATGCAATTTTTAATAATCAGAACACAGGGATGATATTGAACACTGGTACGAAAAATATTAGGCTTTATAAATTGTCTTACGTTGTTAGAAGGAGTATCATGCTTATTTCTTCTCTTATTGTGAATATTATAAAAATAAAGACACAGGTGCTGGTCATAAAATTAGAATATCATGAAAAAGTAGATTTATTTCAGTAATTCCATTTAAAAAGTGAAACTTGTATATTATATTCATACATTACATACAAACTCATATATTTCAAATGTTTATTACGTTTAATTTTGATGATTACAAATGACAACAAATGAAAATCTCAAATTCAGCATATCAGAAAATTAGAATKTTGTGAAAAGGTTCAAAATGGATGGCACCTGGTACCACACTCTAATCAGCTAATTAACTCAAACCACCTGCAAAGGCCTTTAAATGGTCTTTCAGTCTAGTTCTATAGGCTACACAATCATGGGGAAGACTGCTGACTTGACAGTTGTCCAAAAGACGACCATCGACACCTTGCACAACGAGGGCAAGACACAAAAGGTCATCGCTAAAGAGGCTGGCTGTTCACAGAGCTCTGTGTCCAAGCACATTAATAGAGAGGCGAAGGGAAGGAAAAGATGTGGTCGAAAAAAATGTACAAGCAAGAGAGATAACCGCACCCTGGAGAGGATTGTGAAACAAAACCCATTCAAAAATGTGGGGGAGATTCACAAAGAGTGGACTGCAGCTGGAGTGAGTGCTTCAAGAACCACCACACACAGARGTATGAAAGACATGGGTTTCTTCTGTCGCATTCCTTGTGTCAAGCCACTCTTGAACCACAGACAGCGTCAGAAGCGTCTTGCCTGGGCTACAGAGAAACAGGACTGGACTGCTGGTGAGTGGTCCAAAGTCATGTTCTCTGATGAAAGTAAATTTTGCATTTCCTTTGGAAATCAAGGTCCCAGAGTCTGGAGGAAAAGAAGAGAGGCACTTCATCCACGTTGCTTGAAGTCCAGTGTAAAGTTTCCACAGTCAGTGATGGTTTGGGGTGCCATGTCATCTGCTGGTGTTGGTCCATTGTGTTTTCTGAGGTCCAGGGTCAACGCAGCCACATACCAGGAAGTTTTAGAGCACTTCATGCTTCCTGCTGCTGACCAACTTTTTGGAGATGCAGATTTCATTTTCCAACAGGACTTGGCACCTGCACACAGTGCCAAAGCTACCAGTACCTGGTTGAAGGACCATGGTATCCCTGTTCTTAATTGGCCAGCAAACTCTCCTGACCTTAACCCCATAGAAAATCTATGGGGTATTGTGAAGAAGAAGATGCAATACACCAGACCCAACAATTCAGAAGAGCTAAAAGCCACTATTAGAGCAACCTGGGCTATCATAACACCTGAGCAGTGCCACAGACTGATCGACTCCATGCCACGCCGCATTGCTGCAGTAATACAGGCCAAAGGAGCCCCAACTAAATACTGAGTGCTGTACATGCTCATACTTTTCATGTTCATACTTTTCAGTTGGCCATCATTTCTATAAATCCTTTGTTTTTATTGGTCTTCAGTAATATTCTAATTTTCTGATATGCTGAATTTGAGATTTTCATTTGTTGTCATTTGTAATCATCAAAATTAAACGAAATAAACATTTGAAATATATGAGTTTGTATGTAATGTATGAATATAATATACAAGTTTCACTTTTTAAATGGAATTACTGAAATAAATCTACTTTTTCATGATATTCTAATTTTATGACCAGCACCTGTATATAAGGAAGGAGTTGCAGTTTAGTGAACAACAATCAAATCTTGCTGCCACAGAAGGATCATTAACATCTTTCCAATGCAGGTTTCTAAGCTGTTAAGACTTCTGTTGGAAAGCTGGAGGAATTTTTGCCAGGCATTGTATATAAATTTTAGACAACTGTAAAAACATTGTGAAGCTCAAATGGTCCGATCAAGCTTGTCCTGTAGTTCGCAAGTGTCCAATTATTTATATATGTTTTAAACTTTACCATCTGCTGAAGTCTAGCAGAGTCTGGGTGCACTTTTCTGTACATGTCCTCATGCAGTAAAAAATGTGCATCCAGGTTGTAGACACTGCAGCAGCCTGACTGTGCAGGAGTGAGCAAAACAACAGTAGTAGTAAAGAAATGTCTTTTAATTTGGGACAGCTAATTTGACCTCTGTTTTCCTACGATTCACTCAGGTACAAGTTAAATTGTTTGCTTAATGATCTGTGCACTAGTGCACTTTCTTTTTTAAAAAGAAATAAGACATTTCACACGTTTAGCTAACTGCGTCTTAGCAAATCTTGCTGACCAGGGAGTCAAAACAGTCACTGATGTATCTGAAGGATTTTTTTCACACTTACACAGAGATTTCTTCTGTTATTTAGGAGAGCAACACAGCAAAACTAACAAGTCGATGTGGACAGCTTAAAAAACTAGATTATAAATGTGAATTCATCATTTGCCTGAATCTGTTCTTGTACTTTCTATTATAAATCCTGCCATCTGTGGTCTTTTGTGTTCTTCTTAACATTTCTGTTTGTTTACAGGAAAGAGACAAAGTCATGCCTCTGATCATTCAGGGATTCAAAGATGCTTCAGAGGAGGCGGGCACATCTGTCACAGGAGGACAAACTGTGCTCAACCCCTGGATAGTGATGGGAGGAGTGGCTACAACCGTCTGTCAACCTAACGAGTTCATCATGTAGGAATGAGTTCGTGTTAATGGTTTTTTCCCTCTACATCTCTGGTTGCTCTTTAATAAAAAAATGATGCCATGTTTATTTCTCAGGCCTGACAACGCAGTCCCAGGAGATGTGTTGGTGTTGACTAAACCTCTGGGAACACAAGTGGCTGTTGCAGTGCATCAGTGGTTAGACATTGTAAGCTCGGTGTGCCCGGTCAGTCGTTTACGTGTTCTCCTCCACATTCACAGTGCTGATTGATGGATGCTTCTGCTCTGTTTCAGCCTGAGAAATGGAACAAAATCAAGTTGGTGGTAACACAGGAAGATGTAGAGCTGGCCTACCATGAAGCCATGATGAACATGGCGCGACTCAATCGAACAGGTATGTCCAATAATGTGTCTTAAATTGAAATTGTGTTTCTGTATTGGACTTTTATTTGTTGTTGTTGTTATTTGAGAACTATTGAATTTTGAAACCACAGCGCCCTCTGCAGGAGCTTAATTGTATCAAAATTTTATTGGCAAATTCTACAGCATTAAATAGATATAAGGAAAAAGGAAAAACTAGGATACATTTGATATGATGTTGCATAACCCATCTACATAGTACAAATACGTCAGCAAGTTCGCAAATTCTTTGAGTACATAACATCAATTACATGATTCTTGAATTATTGGGTTTTATTACACAATAAAATGATTCATCCAGAATCACATGGGAGTTTTTCTTTTTGCCCTCTCCTGCAGCTGCCAGTCTCATGCACACCTTCAATGCCCACGCAGCCACCGATATCACAGGGTTCGGCATCCTCGGCCACGCGCAGACGCTGGCACGACAACAGCGGAGCGAGGTGTCGTTCGTCATCCACAACCTGCCAGTGCTCGCCAAGATGGCTGCTGTGTCCAAAGCCTGTGGGAACATGTTTGGGCTCATGCACGGCACCTGCCCAGAAACCTCAGGTAACTGTGCACAAGCTTCTGTTCCTCTCTGTCTGTGCTAAGTGTTTGTTTTGATCTGCTTTCAGCGTAAGACATCTTTATTGTAGAAACGTTTTTTTTAAATCATTATTTATTGTTCACAGAAACAAAGGTTTAGTCAGGAGAGTCATCAAAGTAAGACTGTATTTCTAAACCATAATTGAAACAGTGAGTCGAAATAAAAACCGTAACTCGTGACAGGTTAGTGCAATGACTTCCCGACATAATCCCTTTTTACTATGTTAGATAGGACCTGCAATGTGGTGATGACGATGCTCAAACAATATATTGTGCAGCTCTAACAGTGGCTTTATGGTATATAATGGGTTCATCTAGCTGGAATTTGATAAAGTCTTTGATTAAATCCTGCATCTTTTTAAATATCTTTTTAATAACTACTGCTAAATTTTAAATAGAAAAATGTGAGATCTTATCGATCCAGTATTTTAACGGCCCTCTTATCAATGCTTTTCTATGGGAATAAAACCAAAAACAAAGTATGAATATGCAATTATTTTATTTCAAAACAATATAGAACATATAGTAGGGCAATATAATTTTTATTTGAATGTGAAATTTTAATTTGCATTGCAATAACTGCATGTCAAGTTTTTTATTTATTTATTTATTTTATTTTTTCAAATCAAATCCAGTACTTTTCAGTAAGTAGTACTGAATCGGTTACATATCTGATGTTTTTCAAAGCGACCTCAGTCTGAATGCCGTGTTTCATTTCATCTGGCTTCCATCAGTGATCCACTAACCTTGTTATGCTGTTTAAATCTTGTAACTCCACATGTATTCAGCATCAGATCAGAAGTCCAGTTGCTTCGTCTTCTTTTAATTTTCCATGTCCTGGATGACTGATAATCTCCAGAAAAATATTATAAGGTTGTGCGGATGTAACCCCTTTATTTACTACTCGTCACCAGTGAACTGAAGAACCACACACTCAGGACAGGACTTCTCTCGGCTTCACACCATTTATTCACACCAACTGTTACAGAAAACATAAAAGTGGTTGGTGGTGGTCTGATCGTAGCTCCTGCCCCTTCTCACAGAACGTCGGGCAGCAAAAGGGGTCGGCCTCTAACTTTTAACAATGTGATCGTATAGTTTTTAAGACAATATAATTTTCATCAAAATAAAACGAACACATAAAACACACATAACCTCTCCAAGATGTTACAAATGAACATTCRTTTCAAAAACATAACCATACCTGTTACAGAAAACATAAAAGTGGTTGGTGGTGGTCTGATCGTAGCTCCTGCCCCTACACAGCAAAATGAGTACAGTTATTTCACTAACATCATTCAAGCACGAGGCACGGTTGCTAACAGCTAACGACYCTAACAGATTCAGCTAATTTACTCTCCATAGGCGATAAACTGCAGCGTTACAAACTCTTAGCAGTGGAATTACAATAGAAGCAGAATCACAACATCATCTAASCATTTTACTCATCAGAAGTTTGTATACTTTTAGRTTGAYACTTCTAATAAATCACGGAGCTTCATCAGTCCATACCTTCTCACAGAACGTCGGGCAGCAAAAGGGGATGGGCTGCTAACGTCCTGCGGTTATATTTACCACCACCCGCCACTAGGAGGCGCCAAAACCACATAAACAAAAAGAACCCTGAATACATGTAAGATTGGATTAAAACAGTTTTCCCAGACAATAAGAACACATTTTATAACTCCTTGCAAATATTTGGTGCAAAACAAGTAAAATATAAAAAAACTGTAATTGTATTTTGACAAAATTCAATAAACAATAACAACCCTGTTACACGGACCATATCAATGCTAAAGTTACTTGATCGATATTTTAGTTTTAGCACGTCGCTTTGTACCTAAAATAAAATGCTGCACCGGAGCATCCGGTCAGTGGCAGGTTCAGGAATAAACACTGAAATAAACAAGCATGTCAGGTAATTATTTAATCAGCTCTGGTTGCACAACAGTGTCAGAATCGACATGCTAACGTGTAGCATCTATGTTTGGCTACTTCAATAAACACCATGCTGATTGCGATGTCACATAATCCTGTGTTGTTAACAGCCTGTCCCTTTTTGATCAGTCGCACTGCATAGGACAAGCAGGCTGTGAGAGGAAAAGAGAGCTGTTTTTTTCTCTAAACAACAAAGTATGTGCCGTGTCTGCACTTGTCATGCCACTATTCCTGTACCTTTAACAGTACCGCTAAGGCTGGAACTGTTCTATTCGTTCAAAATGAAACCTGTGGCACCAGTGCTGAAAAAATGTCAGGTTTCAGTAACCATTCTTTATACGTAACAAACTATTTTTGGAAGATGGCTGTCTCAGTTGTGTATTTTCCTCCCTCACGTTAGTTTTTTCGATTCAAAAGAAAAAAAATCATTTCTGAATTTGAGCTGAAATACAGAATGTACCATAATATTGTTCTTTCCTTTTCCAGGAGGCCTGCTTATCTGTTTGCCCCGGGAGCAGGCTGCCCGCTTTTGTGCCGAAATCAAGTCCCCAAAATACGGAGAGGGCCACCAAGCATGGATCATTGGGATTGTAGAGAAAGGAAACCGCACGGCTCGTATCATCGACAAACCACGAATCATAGAGGTGACGCCACAAGCATCCACGCAGAATGTCAACCCAACACCCGGGGCAACTTCCTAAACCTCCGTTTCATAGACCTGAACCCGAAACCTCTGTTGAGAGATTTTAGACCTATAAACTACAAAATCATTGTAGAGTGTTGAAATATGTACACACAATAGTAAAAAAGAAAAAAAAACACAACTAAGACTGGGTTGGCGTGCATTATCATGGAAAGAGCCCCTCTCTGTGACCTCGAGGACATGTCACCACCCAGTGGACTCAAGTGGCAGTGTCCCCGTGATATGAAATAGACAAAAAATAGAGCATACTTATTCATTTGCCTTTTCTGTCTGTTTTGTTCAATGTGCTTGATTGGCGGGCAGCTTCTGATAAGAGTGATGATGGAGACAATAATCTGATTCATTTTGAATCTTTGCAAGTCTGGAATCTGTTGCCTCTCTGTCTCTTTTCAAATTGCTCTCCTCAAACAAGCAGACCGAGGTTTTGGCGTTTTTTGTTTGTCGTCCGTTCACGTTGTACAGTTTAAAAGCCTAGTTTTTAGTTTGTTGCTGTAACTGATGCCTTGAAAGACATAATGTGAGCAGAATTGCTTGTTTTTTTTTATTACTTTTACTTTTTGTATCGTCCCCACATACTAATAAATACCAGATGGTTTTCTTCTTGCTACTCTGAAGCTGCGTTTGTTAAAGGTGTAAATTCAGTGGAACTGAGCTACTTTGTAAAAGCTTCAAATTAGTTTCCAACCTTAACGGTTTGCCACTCCACTGCACTTTGATTTTATTTTTTTAAGCTTTAGTTGTAAATGATGGAAAACCACACCTGCATTCCCAGCACATCCTCATATTTTTTGACATGGGTTTTTATTGAAAACATCTGATATTCCTTTTTTTTTATTGTATCAAAGAACCGTTTGCTCTGTGAACTCATTACCATTTTGGTATTTGGTACATTTGGTTTGATGCCTGGTGTACTGAAAGCAAATTGACGTTGAAGATTACAGCTGGTTACTTTTTTTTCCTTTAACCTAATGGAGTGGAAAAATCTAGAAGACTTCCGAAAATGTAAGAAACAGGATATAAAACTCGGTTTTTCCTTAGCTTCCAATAAAACTCTCTTGTAAAACATTGCATTTTTTTGTTTTTATTCTGAAAACATTAGTTGTTTGAATTTAAAAAGTAATTATTAGCAAGTTAAACCACGTATCGAAGAAAAAGTAACTCGATATGTGTTTTATGTTTTTTAGTTTAATCTTTGAAATGGAGTTTAGTGTAATTGTTATGAACATAAAATATCCTACCTGAAGTGGATAACTCGTAGCCTCAGGTTTGAGCCAACAGCTGGTCCATGCAGGGTCAAGACCAAAGTGATCCAGAAAAAAAAGTCATTGTTTTAGAGATTTTTAGTTTTTAGAGTTTTAAGACTGCAGAACTGATTTTTGGTGCAGTCAAACTAGCAGTTAGCTCATCAACTCAATCCGATATATGAAGTAGTGTTTAATAAAACATATTAGGTAGCGCATGAATCTTCAAGCAAATTTATTTACAGGTTTCCTACACTAAAACAATATACCATAATATTTTTATTTTAATCTAAATTGAACTTATATACAATCTACAATATACAGTGGCAGCAGAAATACAGACATAATAAAAACAAACAAAATACCCCATAGTGAAAGAAACATCTCTTATCTGCACCAAACAGCAACTCTGATATGTAAAATAAAGATAAATTAGAGAATTATTAAATGGCTTTTGTCTGACTGAGTGGAATGCCAGGCCTCTAATAAAACTCAACAGAAAAGCAGAAATATTAGTGCAAAATTTCCACCAGAGCTTTGTTTACATGAACAAAGGACGGCGGGGATATGCTCCCCTCAGATGTGCTTCTTCCCATTTGCAACCTGCACACACTTCATATGCCCGTTGATCTTATCATTTTCCAGCTTGAAAAGCGTTTGAATATCCGTCATGGCCTTCTGAATGCGCTGACCAAACCGGCTGGAATTCTGCAGGTTACACGGACAAAAAAAAAATGAGGGATGATTTCAGGTGGGTTTATGACAGAACAAAAGCTGTCATTTTGTGCTCTTACTGTGTCAGGACTGGAGAACTTGCTGGAGATGTGGAATGTGATGAGGTTTTCCCCAATAATGATGTAAGACACACCATAACCATCATCTGCCACCTGTTAGAAAACATAAGCGTAAGATCATGTGTAGTGAACATGTAACTTGCTAAAACTGAAAGAACCTACAGGGCCAAAGCCACCTCCAGCACCCACATACTGAGGGAACTTGTTGATGTCGACTAAGTTAAGCTGCTGCTGGGGAGTCTGGCTTGTGGACAGCTTCCATGGCTCTGAAAGCACCTGAGGGTGTACACATCAAAAGTTTAAAAATAATAAGGGCATACTAGTGAGAAATGAATAATAATTTAAAGGGAATGAGATTGTTTTGGTTCAAACCTTTTTAAGAAATGGGGAGTCAACACCAAGGTATTTGGACACTATGTAAAGACAGAAGAGGTGACGATCGATGCCAGATCCAGTCATGGCCAAACGATACATGTTCTGATGCTTTTCGGCTGCCTTTCGAAACAGTGCCAGTCTTTGGGCATTCTGGATGCAAACAGAAGGCAAACAGCCATTTTACCAAACATTGCAAAAAACAATCTGTTCCCAAAAGATTGAAATATCAAAATGACCTTAAACAGTAGAAGTTTAAGTTTAACTCCTGTCTAAATATCAGCAGGTTCGGAGTCCAGGGCACAGGCACCTGAAAGTCTTGGTGACCTAGTCCCCAAAAGCACAAAGTAACCTCGCACACCTTTTCCAAATGATCACAGCTTGACAGGTCACATTGTGCTTCTCACACTGTGTGCGAACACATCACACCACATGTGTCCAAAGTCTGCTTATTTAGCAACAGCAATATACCCCTACAGATATATTTCGCAGTTACTGGGGTCGTCTTGGATTGCATTTTTTGTTTTGTCCCGGTATATTTTTCCATGCGTTTGTGTGATCTGCTTACTGTTGCACTCGCGTCCTCCATTGCCATAACAAACGCAACAGCCTCGGAGGTGCAGGAGCGTACGGTTTCTGTCCGTCCGTCTCTGAACATGCGAGTCATGGAGGACTCGTATGTCAGACAGAACACACCCTGGTCCTGTAACGAAAGGGTTTGGTGTGATTCGGTGATACACTTTGGTGTAAGCAAATGACTTGAGTGCAAACCTACCCTGAACTGTGCAAGCTGCAGAGCCAGCTGAATGAAGGCGTCAGGGCTTGTCCTGCACTTCTTGATCAGACCTTTGCCAAAGTCGGCAAACAAATAGCCATGGAAGTCCACGTCGTCAGCTATCTGCTTGGCTGATAGGTAGGAAGTCTCAATGACTTCTTGGCACTAAGATGGAGAAAATAAAGATTTGCGTGCAGTTCAAACATCATATCTAATAGTCACTGTTAGTGGTTCTACCTCTTTTGAGATCTGCCACTGTAGTCGAGTAGGATGAGGTAGGCCTCTGTTCACATCACCTTTACAATGACCCTCCTCTGTGTAGCCGAGATGAAAGCAGTCTGTTGCAAGAACATACTACACAGAGCAAAAAAAAGTTACTGCTGAGAAAAAACGACAAACTTTAAATCTTCCAAATTTCAAGAATAAAATACAATTTTTACCTCCAACATGTGTCCAACTATTGGCGCATCGGCCCAAGAGTGTTCCACGTTCACGCCAATCTTTCCATTTGGATATGAGATTAAGGTGAAAGACTTGTCAAACCACCTGGAATGAATAAGAACAGTGTTTTCTGGTAAATAAATAAAGTGTAAGTCAACCAAGCCCTAAGGCCTTTCCCTCATTTTCTCTGTCTACCTGTCGTAACATTTTCCATGCAGCAGAGACTTGGCGTAATTATCAAGTGAGTTCGCTGTTGACGGATCGTAACCCTGTGGCTCTTCATCGAGGCTCAAAAAGAATGCTGCAGACTCGATGGCATCCAGGGATGTTTTGTTTAGTCCGTGGCTGAAATGTTTCACCCGAGCCCGAGCCCACGGAACTCTGGAAAAGAAAGCAGAACTATTTAAGCAAAGACACTTTGCAGCAAGTTTGTGTCCTCGGCATGCGTGTTTGTGTTTACGTGCCTGTCTCCTGCAGTGAGGGCTGCTAGTTTGAGCTCTCCTGGTTGGGGTTCTGATGTGTCGTTGAGGATCCTTTGAAACTGTGTCTCCAGCTCACTAGGTAGGAGATGACGTCCTCCAGTGTACAGCCACACCTGGAAGAACCGGCCTTTGTGGTAGACGACCAGGTGCTTTCGGTCAGTCAGGTGCTGCACAATGTCTGCAGGCAGTTTCAGTTAAGGAGAGATGATCAGAGTTAGTAAAACAAAGATTTACTGCCTGCTTGATCCTTCTTCTGCCACAGAGGTTCAGTGATGCTCACCTGTTTCTATTCCAGGGATTCGGGTGGTGTTGAACATCCTCTCCATCTGAGTGGAACACATAGGAACTGTCCCTAAAGCCCTCAACTAAGACACAAAACAGCAACATGTCAAACATTTAAAGTGTCTGTGACATGCCTATCCTTCAAATACAAAAAGTCAAAGAAACCATATTTATATTTAAGAAACTTGGCATAATACATGATTTTAACCATTTTGTCACATAACTAGCATAGTTTCATTTGAATTTGGCTTAGCTGAAGTGAAACAGGAAATGACATCACAGGGGAACTCAGAAAACTCCTATTTCTTTGTTTATTAAAACATTATTTGAACTCTGATTCTCAAAATAATCTATAAAAACATCAGATTCTTCTCTACAGCCCGTGTTGCTGGCCACACTCTTGTGTTCACATTCAGACATTCCCTGTTGACATCACTTCCTGTTATTTCACATGCAAATATCTCAACAACTGTTCATCTCAGCGCCGTGAATTATTTTTTGTAATATGTTCTCACTGTTACCTTTCCAAAAATGTATTCATAGTTAAAGATTTGACAACACACGCACTTTCACCTTTGAGCGATAAGTGGTGAAAAACTAAAAACGAACAGGGAGATTACCGGTTCATGTTCACCTCGTTCCAGTTTGCGTCTGTACTGCAACAGAGCATGGACCACATTTCCTGCCCGCGCCGCCTGTCGATGTGTTGGAGTGACATACAAAAGATCCTATATGAAAACAGATCAAACATCATTATTTCATGTGTGATTTATATCTAGAAAGTCAAAGTTTGAAGAATTAGGAAAATGTGAGCAAGCTCACAAGTAGAAAGCTAAACACAAATAAGCTGAACTCACCATTATGTAGAAGTTGCTGTTGACCATGATTGGACCCCTGCTCCTCAGGTAGATGTACTCCTCCCACCAGTCACTCACCTGGAGAAGATATCTTGTTAATATTGTAAAAACATTATGAATTTAAAAGATGGAAGAAATAAAATACTACTTACGTAATTTGTTGCCCACCAGGATTTAAAAATCAGGTATCTCTGGAGCTGCGCTGCTTCTGCTTCTCTGAAGTTATGGGCCAACATTTCCATCTGGTTGTACTGTTCACTGTCCAGTAGAGGACGCACTGACTCGAGGTACTGGGATAAGAACAAACTGTGCAAGTCAGGACAATTGACCATGTCAATGTGTAAGGTCAGGCACCATGCCTCCAAATACATTAATGGCTTACTGCTTTTCTGTTTACTTTCAGATACAAATGTATTTATAATTTAGTTTATTGGTATTTTCTGTTGCAATACCAAAATGTCTTCAACGAGCAATATTGCCAGATATCAAAATGACTGCAGAGAGCACACCTAAACATAGTTGCAGCTTTATTTAAAATGGTAAAAATCATAATATTTGAGTGTTGTTTTCTTCCTCTTTTTATTTTATATTTTTACAGTGTTTCCATGTTACACATGAGACACAATGATTGAGTCACTATTTGTTATAATTTTATAGTGTTGTGCATAAATTTAATTACACACCCTCCAAATGGTATCATCCACGCTGGGCACAGGGAGTCGGGGCAAAGCTGCCTGAAAACTGTAGAGCAGCGGCCTCCTTCCAGAAAACATCTTTACCAGTCTCTGTTGCAAAAAATATAAATTCATTATCACAAATCACATATACTTTGTGATCTTTTATATTTGATTACTTGGCATTTATTTCACCTTTTAGATCTAACGGCACAGCTGTTTGACACAAGAGGAGAAGCACGACATGAGTGCAAACAGATCAATAAGTGCAAACATACCAGCCACACTTTGGTTGATGTACTCATTTTTCCATGGGATTCAAAAATCCATCCATGGTAGGACAACAGAGCTTTGAGAGAGTATCTCATGAGGTAGATAAAGGAGATCCACAGTCCAGTGGCAAACAGGATGGCACTCACAACAGCTCTGGTCTGCATCGACATGCAGTCTCTGTTCAGGAGAGGCACAGCACTGCCTCTGTTAACATTATAAATGCAGAGTGATTGTTCGTTTCCAGAGAAGTGGAATCACAACAATAAACGATATGTTGAGCTGTGGAGGTTACTGACTTATGTGGCAGGTTTTCTTTGATCACAGCTATCATTCCCAGAGAGAGGTCAATGCGGGTGTACAAGGAACTCATCATGGCGATCACAACTATCAGCCAACTGGACGGGCTGGCAGGGTAGAGTCCAGCCAGAACACCATTCTTTAAATAACAAAATGCTGATTTAGCATTAAAAACATCACCTCTGCGCTGTACGAATATCTTCAATGCCAAACTTTTCACCCTTTTCCCTTTTGTTAAACACAGCTAGGCATGAGTTGTGTTTGTTTTGATGGTGTTAGTACCTTAAACAAAATGGCTCTTTTCTTCCACGCTGTCACTCCTGACAGATAGATGTTTTTGATGACCTCTTGACTCAGCTTGATGTCCACACCGTCTGGGTGCACAGTGAACTGGAAGCCCACCGCCTGGTGAGCCTCAGCCATCTTTGAGTATTACTAAAATAAGTCAGCAGTAAGAGACGATCAGGTTTCTGAATGACAATAAGATGTAAAAAAATATAAAACAGTTCAACAGATGTTCCTGTAGTGTGAACAGTGTCATTCCCTTAGATTTTACAAAACTGTGATGAAAAAGGAAACTATTCTTTAAATTTTACACATCCCTGAAATCTAACATCATCTTTTAATGATTTTTTTTATCCTGCATTAGCGTTTTTACCACTAATTAACATCTGAAACTGTTTTTTCTTTTCTAAAGGTGATTGACGATTATCTGGGGCAAAGGTGGTTTTCTGCTTTTTGTTAATTATTTGTGATAAAGTTAATCACTGCAGGACTTAAAGATGTTTGCACACAAAACACAAATCCAGTGTAGAGACACAGTGTGACTCACTGATCTCCAAATGTAAGGGCTTTCTGCAACCATAAACAAAAAACATATTTGCACTTCCCACATCACTCCGTGTAGTGGATGAGCGACAGGCCTGGTGTGGCTTTTTTCCATGTCATATGACCGAACAGCTACCAACTGGGACAAAGTTCATTGGCCAGATATAGTGGTGCATCAACAGAGCATGTGCACAAGCCTCAGATGGGCATGAGAATATAAACACTGGGACCAGCCGGAAAAGCTCTCTGGTGCTTCAGCGACGCTGGAATGATTTTCAGTCATGTAATTTGCAGTAGTTTTAGCTTTTGATCCAAACTATAGAAAATCTTTATGTAGCACCAATGAAAAGGACCCATCACAATTTCAATACATGAAAAAAACTTCCAACATATTTATTTTGATGCTCCTTTGCTTTACATACACACATAAAACAGAGTTTACACCACAACACAGGTATTAAAAGCAGAAACTATTAAATAGAAGACATCTACTTTACCTTAATCAGAGCAGAGTGAGTGAAATGAAGGTGAAGCAGAGCAGTGGCTTCAGTCAGAATAGAGGCGGTAAAACCTTCCTTGCTGAGATTGTTCTGTGTCCTTGAAGTGGCTTCACTCAGGTGAGCCTAACCGCCGTCTCCTGTGCTTTCCACCCCCCCCCCCACCTCTCCCTCAGCTCCCTCTCCTCTGTCATGACGTGCCTCTTCTTTGTAACCACACACCAAACATAGCTTGAACTTGTGCTGTGAGGTCTCTGCTACGTAACTGAATGTGCTGCAGAAACCCAGAGCCATCTGACATTTCACCTACTTTCCCATTACAAGATCATACAGTTACTATGACTGAATGAATACAAGGTCAGATATTAGAATATTACATTTTTTTATGTCATTTTAGGAAACTCAAGTACTGATGCCAAATGTTTTTGTAACCTTTTACAGTGTTCTTAAGTACTTCTTTGGATTTTTTTGGTCTTTCAAAGTTCTTTTTTTTAACCATGGCTGCTTCTTCACTAACTTTTTGATCAGTTCTTTTTTTCCTGAACAGGACTGCATATTGTGCAGCTTTTGATTTAAAAATGAGGATGTGGACAAGTAGAGGACATAAAGATGAGCATCAAGCCGAAACAGGGGGACAAAAACAAAAGCAACAGATCTGAATGTTCTTTGATCTGGTCGAGTTTTCAGCTAAAATTTCCATTGGAATCTTTTATTTTATTTATTTTTTTGGAGAATACTATTTTAGATCTGAAACTATTGTTTTTATTTTTAAACTTATTTGTATTTTGCATTGATTTAATAAAAAAACATTGTGTTTTAAGACAAGCAGCTGGTAAAATGACTACAGATGCCTAGGAATCGCTTTCTGTTAGGGGCTTTTTATGCGTTAATGATTCATAGCTCAATGTTAAGAGGCTTAACAAACAAACAAACATCTCTCTAAAAACGGTTAGGAACTGATTTGACAAAAGTCTACAAGAAAGCACGCTTTCTACAGTTTTAAAGTACATAAATAGGCAACTTATTTTCTTTAAAAATAAATAAGAAAATTGTTTTAAACTTACTCAACTCAGTTAAGTGGAAATAGTTGACTTAACTTGGTTAAGTAAATCTAACAATCTGTTTTTTGAGTGTATGTCTCCTTGAAAGTGAAATGTAAAAGAAGAGGGATGACAAAAGACAGCATAATAAACTGTTTAAGAAAACCGCAGCAACCAAGGGGACTTTAAATCTCCTCACACTAAGCTGAAAAGAATAAAGCTGATTTTACAGTGTACACATTCATTAGGACACCAGATCCCAGAGTTGACCAAATTTCATCTCGAGATTTTGAATCGTAGGTTCTTACTTAGTACATTAACAAAAAAGTATATTTACATATTTAAAAAAAGAGTTGAAAAATGAAATTAACTCAATCACCAAGCACTTAATCCATGCAGAGAGGCTAAGTGTAAAATTAGAAGTACAGGTGCTGGTCATAAAATTAGAATATCATGAAAAAGTAGATTTATTTCAGTAATTCCATTTAAAAAGTGAAACTTGTATATTATATTCATACATTACATACAAACTCATATATTTCAAATGTTTATTTCATTTAATTTTGATTATTACAAATGACAACAAATGAAAATCTCAAATTCAGCATATCAGAAAATTAGAATCTTGTGAAAAGGTTCAAAATGGATGGCACCTGGTAACACACTCTAATCAGCTAATTAACTCAAACCACCTGCAAAGGCCTTTAAATGGTCTTTCAGTCTAGTTCTATAGGCTACACAATCATGGGGAAGACTGCTGACTTGACAGTTGTCCAAAAGACGACCATCGACACCTTGCACAAGGAGGGCAAGACACAAAAGGTCATCGCTAAAGAGGCTGGCTGTTCACAGAGCTCTGTGTCCAAGCACATTAATAGAGAGGCGAAGGGAAGGAAAAGATGTGGTCGAAAAAAATGTACAAGCAAGAGAGATAACCGCACCCTGGAGAGGATTGTGAAACAAAACCCATTCAAAAATGTGGGGGAGATTCACAAAGAGTGGACTGCAGCTGGAGTGAGTGCTTCAAGAACCACCACACACAGACGTATGAAAGAAATGGGTTTCTGCTGTCGCATTCCTTGTGTCAAGCCACTCTTGAACCACAGACAGCGTCAGAAGCGTCTTGCCTGGGCTACAGAGAAACAGGACTGGACTGCTGGTGAGTGGTCCAAAGTCATGTTCTCTGATGAAAGTAAATTTTGCATTTCCTTTGGAAATCAAGGTCCCAGAGTCTGGAGGAAAAGAAGAGAGGCACTTCATCCACGTTGCTTGAAGTCCAGTGTAAAGTTTCCACAGTCAGTGATGGTTTGGGGTGCCATGTCATCTGCTGGTGTTGGTCCATTGTGTTTTCTGAGGTCCAGGGTCAACGCAGCCACATACCAGGAAGTTTTAGAGCACTTCATGCTTCCTGCTGCTGACCAACTTTTTGGAGATGCAGATTTCATTTTCCAACAGGACTTGGCACCTGCACACAGTGCCAAAGCTACCAGTACCTGATTGAAGGACCATGGTATCCCTGTTCTTAATTGGCCAGCAAACTCTCCTGACCTTAACCCCATAGAAAATCTATGGGGTATTGTGAAGAAGAAGATGCAATACACCAGACCCAACAATTCAGAAGAGCTAAAAGCCACTAATAGAGCAACCTGGGCTATCATAACACCTGAGCAGTGCCACAGACTGATCGACTCCATGCCACGCCGCATTGCTGCAGTAATACAGGCCAAAGGAGCCCCAACTAAATACTGAGTGCTGTACATGCTCATACTTTTCATGTTCATACTTTTCAGTTGGCCAACATTTCTATAAATCCTTTGTTTTTATTGGTCTTCAGTAATATTCTAATTTTCTGATATGCTGAATTTGAGATTTTCATTTGTTGTCATTTGTAATCATCAAAATTAAACGAAATAAACATTTGAAATATATGAGTTTGTATGTAATGTATGAATATAATATACAAGTTTCACTTTTTAAATGGAATTACTGAAATAAATCTACTTTTTCATGATATTCTAATTTTATGACCAGCACCTGTAAAGATAAAAGACAGCCTCATAGCGGGTGGAGACAGGTAAAGGTGGGAATGCTCTGATGGACAGACTTTGGAGATCCATTTGTACAACACTGTTGTGTTCTAAACTGGGCATCAGAAGCTGGTCTCCTGCAAGTGTCCCCTGCCCTCCAAATGCCACTTTCTCTGCCCTGTGCACCTGGACAAGAATAGGGTTGTCAAAATTAAAAATAAAATATGAAATCTACCGTTGTTGCCACCAATCATGAGCAGCTTGTCTGAAGCCCCCAGGAAGTAAAGAAGAGGAAGGTCTGCATCTGCTCTGGTAAGGGTGGGAAGCAGTTCAGACCACGAGTCTATCGTGAATAAAAAGAAGATAGAAGTTAATCTTTTAGGTGTGCAAACTGAGCTGGAAGCAGCTGTGAGCTGTTCTGATTCTGTGCACCTTGCTTTGTGTTGTACTGCAGCAGCAGTTTTTCCCCTGCCCTCTGGATAGTCCCCAGCACATAAACACACAGTCTTCGAAGCTGGCAGCGAGGGGGACATCGTGGGATAAGGACATGGTGAACTGGAAGTCAGTGAGTGGCAACGAGGATACAAACCTAAAGCAGAAGTTGGGCATAAAGATTAAAGATTAGGAGAAAACACAGTCTGATTATCTGCTTTATATGAAGCCAAACCTCCATCTGTCCTCCCATGGATCATAGCGCTCTACAGCTGTGTACAGAGCTGTGCTCGAGTCTGGAGTCACCACAGAGAGTCTAAGTACCAGCCTCCTACAGCGTAAGCCTCCACAGGCCACTGCACTGAAGTGCCTCCTGTGCTGTAGCAGATGGGGAAGGTTTCCTTTGCATTACTGAAATGATTGAAAACTGAGACAAAAGTTTTCAACAAAAACAAATTAGAGGATTGGTGTACCTTTATCAGCGGGGCTGCAGCAACCCATGGTTGTAAAAAGATTAAATCTAAAGGAAACCATATTAAACTCCCAGCCTCTTTTCATACGCTGCCTGTAGCCTCCTAAAATGTACAGGTAGTTATAAAGCACCACTGTGGTAAAACACCATTTATCAGATCTAAAAGGAAGTTCTGTAACTGGGTGCCAGTCTCTACCGTCCTCTGGTCCTTCCATCACGAATATGTGGCGAGCATGTTGAGATGTTAGGTTCTCCTTCCTCAGGCTGCACAGATGTCGCTCTCTTCGTACCCTCAAGTTGACCACTTCCTCCTTCTCCTCATCATTCAGCAACCTGTCGAAGAAATCTGTTTCAGTGACAAAAAGCAGCATTCAGAGAACCACAGCACTGAAACTGCACATACCTCACCACCTGTGGCAGCTCCAGCAGGTTTCTGCTCAGATAAGTGAACACCATATTCTGCAGTTCGATGCAGAAAATCTCCCGAGCAAGACTCAAGTAAGAGACAGTTAGACTGAGTTCTTCTGCCAGGGCCGACAGGCACCTCAAAAGGAAGGCTTCGGCAAGGAGGTAGCTGCTCACCTTGGGATTCATTAAAAAATATTTTTTAAAAATCCGACAGATTTGTGTCAAAACAAAGCAAATGTTCTAATAGAGCAAATATTAGCCAGAAAAAGACATTATAACCTGAATGTGTGCTCCCAGTTCTTCTTGGGGAACTTTAAAAATCATGACTGAAGAAGAACCATAGGTGTAATTTGCAGGGGGGTTAGGGGGGTTATGACCCCCACAATAATTTGATCCAGTCAATATAACCCCCTCCCAATAAAATGGCATAATTTGCTCAAACACAATAGAAATTAACTGGTGAAGTAGACAGATGCAACTCTCTTGTTGTCTTTAGGTAACTTTGACTTGATTTAAAAATGTACAATGTCATGTTTTCAAGCATAACCCCCCCCAATGGTAGACTTAAAGTTACACCCTTGAGAAGAACTCAAGGAGATTGTGGAAAATGGCGGATGGAACATGGTCCAGGCGAATGAGACCATCTGAGCTCTCTTTCATGTCAGACTGGGACAAAGCTCGGAAGTACTCACTGCACTTTGAAAGTCTTTGGAGGTCCACCTTTTAAAAATTATGTAATGATTGCACTAGTTTTAGTTTAACTGGTGTTGTAGGACTTACATCTCATGAAAGGTGTGTGTGGTGGTTTGGACCGCAACTTTGGCTCCATTTCCATCTCCAAGGGGATATGTACGCAGTGCCTCACTGGTTTTCCACTTCTCTGATTCAGCATGATGTGATCCTTTATAAGTTTTACATGTAGATGATACACGATCACTGAGGTTTGGAAAAACACCCAGAATTTTCTGAAGGCAATGCTTCAACCAGAAGATTATCCACTCAGTGAATCCCATTAACAGCTGCTTTAGAGCGTTCATCTCACCGATGTACGGATTTTAAATTTAGGTAAATTGCATCTAAGACGGTTCTAATAACACAGCCTGACTTGTAAATTTTCCAAATAAGTTAAGTCAGCACACTTAAAAAGGCACAACTGTACAACACAGCTCACACAGTGATGTTCCCTCTAAGAGAACCAACTCCAATAATTGTGAAGGATTTAAATTTTCATGCCAGCAGAATAAGAACAGCTGAAAATAAACAATCTTCAATATTAAACCCCGTTTTTACTCTTGGATCCAAAATGAGCCCAGAAAGTCCCTCGATCTTTGAGCAGTGGTTTTCCTTCTTGGCTGGTCTATTCTTGGCTCGGGGAGGTGGGACAACTGTCAGCCCTGTGGAGTAAAACATGGTCCTCACGCTGCTCAACGCGTCATCGCAAAGGCACTCAAATTACTCTGACGGCCGCTGTAATAGAGTCACCTCACATGAAAGACAAAACCAAAGCATCTTTTACACTGAAAAAACAAACAAACTAAAAACCAGTGGCAATCCAGACACTCAACACCTAAGTTTAAAAGTTTTTTTTTAGTGGTGCACAAATAAACCAATGCAGAAACATTCAAATGACATCACAACAGGAAAACACTGTTTTAAAAACTGCTGAAGTTTTATTAGTTTCGTTCAGGAGTACACAGATGAATTAATGAATAAAACAAGGACAAAGTTAACTTAATTACAATCAATAAAATTCAGTCCAGATAAGCAAAAATATTAAAGATAGAATTTAAACAAAGTTAAAACCCTACGTCACATTTTTACAACAAAAACTAAGAGTTTACATTTCAGTCATTGTTGGATCTCAGAGCTCAAAGTTGTGTCTTATTTGGAATAAGACTGAAAAGGCTAGAAGTTGAGGTGTTGGAAGTTTTCATGCTATTAAATGTTTGTACGCAAAAATACAAAAAACAAATGAGATTTTAGAACTGAACATCGGCATGACAATGACCTGTTGTGAAAGCTGGTAAACAGAGGCAGAAATAAAGTTGTTCACTGATAATGATAGTGACGAGGTCAAACAATGCAGATTTAAAGAACTTGAACTTTCTAACGACTAATAGCCCTTGTTATTATGTGCTGAAGCTGCGTAGGTTCATCACTTTTTAATATCAGTAAATAAACCTCTAACAGGAGAAATATATGAAGTTGTTATGGAATAAATAAAAGCAGCAACAAATGGAAAGCAGTTACAATCAACTGCAATGAAATGTATGCATCCAACTAAAGAGCTAACAGTAAAAAAAAACAAGGGGAGGTAGATTGACTCAAAACACTAAAGCAACGAGCTACAGAAAAGCCTTCAACACTGAGCTCAGTAGTATTGAACTGATATATGAAAACATATCAAAAAAACATTACAGTCTGAAATGAAAAGATATTCGTTCTCTAACAAAGCAACAAGTACTGATCATTACTGACCTCTGACATGCAGAGAACACAGCTAAAGAATCACTAATGGTGGGGAAAAAAGGGAAATGCTTAAAAATGTGTTTACAAAGTGAAACGATTACACTTCACTGTGCTGACCCATGCCTCGTCTTTGAATGATTTCTTTTCTTTACATAAATGCAAACCTACCTGAAAAGTCTCAACAAAATACAACATGTTAACACGAGGCAAGCTGGCAAACAAATAACCAGTACATTCTAGGGCTGCACAGTATATCATCAACGTATTGTCATCTCAATGACTCCGATATACAGTATATTGCAAAGAACTGCAATGAATGATTTGCCATTAAAATGCCATGCATTCATGTTCTGCACGCTAACAATAAATTTGGTCAATTTAAAAGAATGTCACTGGCCTTTGTGCCCACACCTCGTTAAGTTGGTGGTCATGACAAACAAGAATGCCGAGGAGTGAAGAAATCATCACAATCAACAACGTCATCGCAAACTTAAAAATATGGCAAGTTTTTCCTAATATTGTGAAGCCCTTGTACGTTCCGATTAACATGGAGTTCAAGAGAAGAGCTTTTTCTGCTTGAAGTAGGCATCGAAACGGCACTGAGCATAATCCTGCAACAAGAGAAAAACTATTATAAATGGCTGTTTTGTTTAAGATGTTATCACGTAAGGGTGAAACATCTTAAAAAGGTCTTTAGAACAAGAAAAAAAATAATCAAAAAAAAAAAACACTACATGATTATGACCACAAATCACATACCATGTACCCAAACTCGATCTTGGATAGCTTAGCTTGAATGATGGACCACAGACCCCAGAGGAAGTGTGATGCTAATGCATATCTACAGTACAGAATAAAAATAACAGTTTATAAGAGGTGGTTCTGAAACCATTCACAGCTACAGAAAATCATCTCAACCCTAGTTTACCTGTTTGCTTCAAGGATCATGTTCTCTTCCACTTGTGTCTGGTCCATGGTAGAGTCAGTGTGCTTCCTTTGTTCAGTCAAATAACTTCTTATGAAAAGAAGCTGAAATGGGCATCAAAATTATTATTAGCTAAACAATGAATTTAAAGTAAAAGGCGTTGCCGATGTAAACGTGGTGCAGTGAGATCTCGCTAATGAACTCAAAATTCTAGTTTTAACCACTAGATGGTGGTGCACAATACCAACACACCACCACATATACTTTAGCACAATTGGTAAAAAATAAAAACAACTAGCTCTACAGAAAGTGTCACCATCAAGATAAACAGTTTTAAAGTTATATTACCTTTCCACAAACTGTGAATAGACCAAACAGTATATTTGTTGTAGGCAATAGTTCACACAAAAGGTGAATAGTCGTCACTTTAATGCAGGCGTGTTTTGACTGACCTGCTGCTCTCTGGTTGGATAGTTTTCAGGTGTGGCTTTGTAAAAAGGCCACTCGTTGTACGTGTAATCATACATCCACTCGCAGAAATGATTCCCAAAGTCAAAACCCCTTCAAAGAAATAAAGACATGAGGTTTATTCATGTTTTTTTTCCTGCAAAGCCAAAACCCCATTCCAGTGTGAATCTATGACCCAAAGCACACACATCACCTGTAATTGTAACTGCTGTATTCAAAGTCTATAAGCATAAGTTTCTCTGTTGAGTTGTGGTACTGGTCTTCCAGCACCAAGATGTTTCCTGCAGCAGCAAAAAAACACAGAGACATAACCACCACTTTACTCACTTCACTGGGTGTCAAGTGTGATCAATAAGTTTTGTGGATAATCAAAAACAAAATTTTTGCCTCTTAAATAAATGCAAGCTGAATTTAAAAGCCACATCTGGGACTTGCCTGGTAAAATAACGGTAAATAAATAAATTTTAAAAAACCCATCAAACGAGCTTTGTAAGTATTCTTACAACTAAAGAAAAATGACATCAAGTCTCAGACATAGCTTGTTAAAGATTTTAAAAGTTGAGGCAAGTTTAAAACCATAATGTTCAGATTCCTACCAAGTAGTGCATTACATCTCAGGTAGTTTAGCATTTATAGTTTAAAAATCTGACTCTTTTTGCAGTTATCTGACCAAACCGTGCATGTTAGGTTGCCTTCAGGTTCAGTCCTCCATTGCAAAAAAATAAATAAAAATAAAGATCTGTGATCTCAGTGGGATGTGACTGGTTCTATAAAGGTTAATAAAAATTCTTATTTGCTTTAGTGACGCCTTTTTTTTTTTACCAAACCAAATAAAAACCAAGAAACGAAGAAAAAAAATCACAAGTTGTAACGTCTTCAGGGTTACTCCTCTATCTATTTATTCAAGCGTTACAGCTCAATGCAACAGACATTTAAGCCCATTTTTAACAGACCACAATCCAGGCTGACTTTAACTCGCACGTCTCTGAGTGTGACAACACATCCAAAGTGTGGATCAACCAGAATAAACTATGACTGTAAGGGTGTGAAAAGGTCTGATAGAAAGGAGATTGAGTTTTACCTTCTTGGACGTCGTTGTGGCAAAACACCACTGGTGATGGAGTTGATGCCAGCAATGCACTGTATGAAAAAAAAAAAAACAAAGAAAAAAAGACAATAAGATTGCAGTGCTGTAGATGTACTTAATGTTACATAATTCAATGCAAACATTTAGAACTTAAATCCAAAATGGGGAAAAAAGCTTTTCCAAAATATTAAAAACAACAACAACAACGAGGCATTTATTTGCAATTATTGTATCTTAGTCTGTTCCTGCACAATGAATGAAAAACACCAATGACTTAAACACAAAAATCAACATTTAAACAAAACAGTTTTACTACAGATTTATAATCAGAGTTGCACATAAGCGGTGCGCAGGTGTGCATGCGCGATCAAAAAAGAAAAAGCGCACCAGATGGAATGTCACAAACCTCCCTTGCGTACTTAAGATTGTACCTGAGATTGTGAAAACAACAGCTAGCAGGGTCGCAAATGTGACCCGATTCTTAAAAACAAACAAAACAAAACAAAAAATCCAGCCTCACTGGTGTGACTGGATCGTCGTTCTGTCAGAGGAGGGCAGCGGGACCCTGATGTTTAAGGATTAAACAGACACTGCTTTCCAAACATAAACTGAGCACATTTCTTCACTCTGCTGTTGTCTTTAGTCTCTCTTCTCTACATGTTTATTGTAATTACTTCCATCATGTTTTTTCTTTGTCTCTTCCAGAAGAAGGCGCACCTGGACCAGTCCCGGACCAGTTCTTCTGTGTTTACCTGTGTCTCTTTCCTGTCCCTCAGCCAGCTAGTCGAGGCAGATGGTCTCCTGTCCTGAGCCTGGTTCTGCTGGAGGTTTCTTCCTGATTAGCAGGGAGATTTCCTCTCCACTGTTTACTCAGGATGGGAGACTGTGATGAAGTGATTCAACGCAGCCTGCTGGTTTCTTTTTAGATTATTCTTTTTATGTACAGTGCCCTGAGACAATGTATGTTGTGACTTGGCGCTATATAAATAAACTGAACTTGAACTTGCTTTCAACGAATCAGACAAACTCCAGAGCTGTTTTATCCAATCAGAGCAGAGCAGGGCGGGACTTTCAGTGAGAGCAGTTTTCAGCAGAGACAGTGGAAGCAGCGGCTGCAGCTATCAGTCCTGACATCTCCTCCTGCACTTTGCTCCTGAGCTACCAGAGACTTTGGTCTGTAAAACGTAACTTTATATTAAATATATGTTCAGAGCGTTGTTATGGAACAGATCTGTCCAACTTTGCGTCAGTGATTAAACTCTCTCCTCCGGGAACGCGCCTCAGCGCGCACAGGCTGTTAGTCTTTCTGTGAGATTCACCGTTCGAGTTCTTCTAAACCATATTACCTCTAACAGAAGAAAATTTATTTGCCCCATATTAAAGCAAAGATGAGTCTGTTTAATGCCCCCCCCCCCCCCCCCCCAACCCAAAAAAATAAATAAATAAAAACTTGCCATAACAACAAGGTTCTTGATGTGCTAAACATGTTTATATTTAGAATCATACTGTGACAACTGCTCTGGGATAAATGTAATTCAATAATAAAATATGAAGAATAAATAATT